AAAGCCTATCAATCGCATTAATGTTGCATATAAATTATACGTCGCAATTCAAGAAAGCTTTAATGCTCAAAAGGGGGATTAAAGTCTACTCTCGACATAAATACACACAGACATATTCCTCTGTGTATAACAACTAAAACTTAGAATTTGATTCTTGTAGTCATTAACTAAGTGCATTTAGAAGCATTTTAATTTAAAGATCTCCGATAGTTACCCTTAGACAAGATCTGTGAAATCCTACAGTCCACTATTATTATTATTATTATTATTATTATTATTATTATTATTATTATTATTATTATTATTATTATTGTTGTTGTTGTTGTTGTTGTTGTTGTTGTTGTGGAAAATTAAATTTACCTGGATGAATCTCATTAGATACATACCAGTAAATGGTAACAAAGATAATTATTCTTTATCAAGGTTACAGAGACAAGTAAGAATTTTAGGACACCTAGGTCGCAAAAAATGTCCCCCTTCGATACGTAATACAATCTATATCTCCACAAGTCACTATAGACCTATATTAATTTCAAATGAAATATACATCACCAGGAATTCTGGTAAAACATTAATATAAATATGTGAACTGTAAATTAAATTTATAAAATGAATACATATACATTGAAGGAGAATTTATCTTAATACCACTCAACAATTAGTCTGGAGATTATGGTGTGTCATACACAAAACAGCCTGCCTAAAATATGAAGAAAATACTGGCCAGAATTTCAACATAAATAGACATCGACTCAGCTGTGGTAATATCCTGTTTCCATCTAATTATGGAGCCCTGTCCAGTCGCCTAATTCTCACGTTCTGCAGGACTACAACTCCAACAATTTCGGCTCCTATTTGAGAGGTTTTAAACGCAATATAACCTCTAGAGCGACGAAAAATTTTCCGATTTTCACTAACGTTTGCCTCGGTCAATTCAAAACAATGGCGACTCTCTCCCAGCGACACTCACCAATTTTGCTGATTCTTTATTTATTTACAAATTTATTTTTATTACCTACAATATATTCCATCAATTTACATACAAAAAACACTGTGGTTTTTGGAAATTATACAGTATTTTCCACAATTGTTATTATTATTATTATTATTATTATTATTATATTATTATTATTATTATTTTACTACTACTACTACTACTACTACTACTACTACTACTACTACTACTACTACTACTACTACTACTACTACTACTGCTGCTACTACTATTGTGGAATTTTTTTTACATAATTTCCTAAATGTAGAACATTTAATTATATAATGTAATAATTGTATAATAAAATATAATGCTGTTTGGATCCTTCGAGAAATTTTAAGTGGAGGAGAGGGGAGACGCCATTTTGAATTTATTGTGTATGGACAGGTTGGAAATTTGCACCAGGAATTAGGCGTTTTCCGAGGCCTAATGGGGAGTATCCGCCTCAGTTCGTTATAGCAATTCGTGTTAATTCTCCAGCTACTTCTTGCTCAGATGTAACGTTCTCCTCAGGCGGTGACAAGGTCTTCAAAACTTCCTCCAATTCTTCCTCTATTTCCAACACTTCCTCCCGTGGTACCATCCCTGCAGAAGTCACTGAAGGAGATTGTGGGGCAGGGAACTGAGGGGAGGACTCACCCCCAGTCCTAAAAGCTTGCTCCACCATCTCACTCCACAAACGACCATTCCCCCCCTCAGGTGATTGATCCTCACCTGCCACCCATAAGACAGGGGCTGCGTCTTCTACCACAGGTTCAGGCATGCGTCTGTTTTTCTCACATGCTGCAGCTATGTGGTCATACTCATCACATAGGTGACACGTACGCCTTTGCCCAGGATACAGGGCCATGACCTGTGTCCTGAAGTCCTGAAGATAAACGTAAGACGGTATGGGATGTCTCAATGTCATTTTAAAGTTAAAAGTCCCTTCTGGCAAACCTGCGTAGGCACCTGCTACCCACATACCATGCTGGGCAAAATGAACCATCTCATATTTCTCGAAGACTTTTCTGATATCAGCTTCATCCACCTCAAAGGGGACGTTACGTAACTTTATCCAGGTATAATGCCTGGATACATCAACCAGCCTCACACGTACAGCAGGTGTAACATCAAGACTCACGTCCTGGAAACGAGTAACCAACGATTCATAAACCGTTGCAGTGAGCAGTTTCACGAAGATTCTATGTGCTCCATTTAAAGCCACTCCATATAATTCTCCATCTTGAATTCCATATGTCTCTCTGATGATCCTAGGTAAGAGAACCTGTGCTGAACTAGGCGAAATCGTCCCCCGGAGAAGCTCAATACCAATAGTATAATGCGGCGCCTATGACAAACCTCCATGTTGACAGCAGTAATTTTCCTGAGGTGTCAAGCAGAGGCGCGACAGCACCACCTCACACCACTGCAACCGGGTAACTGAGGAGCGTCTAGGAAGTAGGTCCACACGGCCCGAGAGTGATGAGGACAATGTATTTGTAATTAGTGTGATACCAAAATTATGAGAAATCTTACCCAGTCAGTATATATAATATTCTATAATAATAAATAGTGTTCCAATTAACCATTTCTGGAGTTCAAGTCCTCAAATTTATGTACAGTCCACAACCATAATTTTCCAGTGTTACTGGTATAATTATAATTATTATAATTCCAACTTTATGTGAGTGTGGTTTGAAGTGAGTGAGCATTGAGGGAGGTGAAGTGTTGTGACCTTCTGTACCTGAAGTCCCATCTAGCTCTGAGGTGCAACTAACATCAGTGAGTGTTATTCTAGTTGTACCTGGCCCAAATTATATGCATATTAGAATTCAGGTCAATACCTGTGAACCTCATGCACATAATTTCTCATATATTATTAAGTTCTTGGTCCTTTTCGAACTGAATTTGATCAATGAAGATCTACTTAAATAAATAAATAATTGTGACTCGACAGAAAGAAGTGGTTGATTGGATCTACATAAACTGAAAACAATGAATGTTATTAATGTTAGCTGGTAATAATATAATTTTGTATTTGCCAAGCCCAGACGGAGCTAGGATTATAACTGTAATACACATTTTTAATATTGATGTGTATTTGTGTATTTTCCATTAATAATTGTGAATTTGCTTAGCCCAGTTAGGGCAAGCAATCATAATTGTGTAATAATTAATTTGGTAAACCAAAAATATTTGGGTAGGATATATTTAATGCGTAATGCAATAATTATATAAAGTGTGTTATTGAATAAATTGTATAACCAGTGTTTTATTATTTGGTCTGATACATAAGAAACCATGGATGAGGTTAATGTAATTAATCCAAATGGTAAATCCATGGGTATAAAAGCAATAAAAACATCTTTAAATACTAGAAAAGGTCATGTGATCAGAGCTTATAATAAATGTTTAGAAATGATATCAGAGGAAATTGTGAAAAGAATCAATTTGGAGTTGTGTTTAGATTCATTAGAGAATAGATATGTATCATATAAATTGTATTATGAAGAATATGAAGGATATCTGTTGGTAAATTGCGCAGATGGCAAATAAAGCTAATTAATGATTGATCAGGAGTATGACCTAGAAGAAAAAATACTATCTTGTAGAAGTAGGGCACTAAATAAGTTAAAGTGTGTAAATAATATAGTTAGCAAGTCCACTAATGATGATACCATGTCAATGCCCAAATTTCCAGAGCTCCGTCTACCTATATGACTGGGATTGACTTTTTCCACGGTACTCATAGTAGCATAACAATCCTTCACATTATGACTGATTAAGCGGTCATAATGTGAAGGATTGTTATGCTAAATTAAATAATTGTTATCAGTGCCATAAGGGAAGGCATCATGTTGTAATGTGTAAAGGTTTACATAATAATAGTAATGATATTAATAATGATGGAAACCCTGGCACAGCTGTTACTAATGTCAAAATATCAGCTAATATAAATGATGGTAAATGTGGTCACTCTGTGTATTACTAATGAAAGAGTGCCTCAGTCTCAATATTCCTTAACAGAGGATGATGTTGAACTAGTATATAAATTATGACTCCTTTGGAAGTTGAATCAACCAGGATTGCCTACAAATTATAGAATAGCTTATGGGCAATGAGGAGCACAGTTCCATGTGTTAAGACACCAAAATTATAAGTAAAAATTGTAAATTAGGGCTAAATTTAAGGCTAAAATTAGGGCTATACTTAGAAAATGATGTAATATGTACAGATAGGTTGCAATATGCTGAACTGATACGAAGGCCCATTATCTGAGCATTTTAAATATGTATCAAAATTGTAAGGCATGGTGGAGTACAAAAACATTTTAAATTAAGTCGTCTAACAACGACCTTCGCCCGGCTGCCATATGGAAAAGTTTTTATAATTTTCCTAACGTAGAGTATATAAATGTAAATAGATAATGTAATGAGTGTAAAATTTGATGCTGATTCTTCGAGAAATTTTAAGGAAGTGAGAATCTGTGTCGCGAAGGAATACATGGGAGACTCTGACAGTATTGCAATTGTGTGAATAATCGGGCGTCATCGAGGCAGAAAGTGGTGGTATCAGCTAGAATCAAGGATTAAAAATTGCTTTAGCGTCTTCCCTTGTGGTAAATGTGCCAATTCCATGGAAAACAACTGTAACATGGTTGTACGGATGAAAAATAAGAGGACACCAAATTTGTGCAGCCCACCATATGTAATGCATGCTTACCCTTAATTAGCAGTCTATATTGCCTTGGCCGATGCATATTTCTAATAGGGAAGCATTAGAATGTGATCTATCAACAATGATTGAAGTATGTTAATGTCCAAAATTTATAATTTGTAATTAATGTGATAATATTATCAAAGTGATGATAAATCTTACCCAGTCACTATATACAATAGTGTATAATAATAAATGTTCCAATTAACCATTTCTGGAGTTCAGGTCCATAAATTTATATATAGTCCACAACCATAATTTTCCAGTGTTACTGGTTTTATTAAATGCTAATTATTAATTATTATAGGTCCAGCTTTGTGTGAATGTGGTTTGGAGAGAGTGCGCATCGAGGGAGGTGCAATGTCGTGACCTTCTGTACCTAAAGTTCGACCTAGCTCTGAGGTGCAACTAACATCAGTGAGTGTTATTTTAGTTGTACCTGGCCCAAATTATATAGAATTCAGGTTAATGCCTGTGATCCTCTTGCACATAATTTCTCATAATAATAATTGTGAAATTTTTTTTATATTATTTATTATTAGCAGACCACCTGCAGGAGGTTTACAGGACATCACCTGAATTATTACCTGCCAGTAATTTGGTTGAGGTAAGTGGGACTTAATCACAGTAGGTCATTGAACCGCTACCCCCTCGATTGCCCCACTTCCTTACTACTTTCCCAAAAGGTAGACCTAACATTAAATTATTAACTACAATATTGAAACCACCTACTCTGGTACATTACAATTAGGTGGACTGTATAGGGTTAGGCTTGCTTGCTACACATGTAACTATTATGCATAAATTATTAGTGTTATTAAAAAGTAACTTTTTATTACCACTTACCATTTAATTAATGTAGATGGATCACACCACAACACCTCCCTAACATGTAGATCCTACACTGGTCAGCTAGGTCTAAATACAAGGACTATGGTGTACTCTGTGAAGTGCGATGACGCCGCATCATTTATTTTCCATTCTCACCACTATTATGGTCGTTTCGTAAATTTCCTGGCTCAGTTCATCAGCAGGGGACATTAACGCTTCCAGCTTGTCAACGATATGAGAATTTGGGGAACAATGATGTGACGGAGACGTCAGTGGGATTAATAAATCATTGTAAGGTGGATGTTGAGGTTCACCGTGAGGTTTCCCCAGACCATGTTATGGGAGACATGATTGTAACTAGGAAACGGGCAGCTACGTCAGACTCGGATGATGTACTGACGCCAGCGCAGAGGCCTGGGAAGCAGACTGGGATGGTAGGAGAGGGAAGAGGTGGCGATGGGGGAGGTCATGATAAGAAACATAGGAAGAAGGGAGAGGGGAAAGAAGGTATTGTGAAGATAACATATATAAATACTTATTCTAGTGGTGAAAAGAGTGAGGAGAAGAGGCAGGGGTGGAAAATTTAAAAGGCCTTCGGTGTATGACTGTCAATGTTAATGGCTTATGTAGTAGAATAAAGAGAGAATGGTTGTGCATGTTTCTTAATAAATATAGAGTGGATGTTGTGTTCCTACAGGAACATAATTTCAAGGAGGGTAAGGTGTTAGAGGTAGTAGGTTATCAAGTAATGACCCTGCCAACTACCCGTTTAAAAGGTGGTGTGGGTATTTTAATAAAGGAGACGAGCCCGTTTGTTTTGCAGAGAAGTGAGGGGGGGAGGGTGTTCCATGTGGATGGGTCGTGGATGAGTAAGCGTGTATCTTTTGTAAATGTGTATGTGCCTGCGGAGAATAGCATGCAGGTAAGGAAGGATTTTGTGTGCGAGGATCTTGTCTATTTTTTGCGTGCACTTCCGGAAGTAGCAATAGTGGGGAGTGACTGGAACTGTGTTATTAGGGCGGCTGGCGTAGAACCAAAAAGGGCAGGGCATATGTCTGTAACTCTCAGGGATTTGATGAGGGACGTTAGGTTACGTGATGCGTTTGGGGGGGTGTGGGAAACAGAACATACTTTTGTTAGGAGGGGATACGCAGCGAGGTTAGATAGAGTGTATCTTTCTCAAGGGGTTGTCTTGAAATCTTTTAATACCGTTGAGGCGGCTATGTCAGATCATAGGGCTGTAGTGGTGAAAGTAGGGTGGGAGGAGATGGCGGAAATATATAGGACTTACTGGAAATTGAATATTAGTGTGTTGAGTGATGAAGAAGGTTTGGAGGGTTTTTCTATTTTATGGAAAGAGCTTTACAAGGAAGCTCAGGAGGTGGATGACATTGAAACATGGTGGGATTCTGTGGCTAAAGAAAGGATAAGAAAGTACTATGTGAGGGAGGGTAAACGTATAAATAATTTAAAATATGGGCTTGCGAATTATTTAGAGGATCGATTAAGAGGTTGTTATGGACAGGGGATGGTTGGTGGTGTTTATCCCATGGACGAAATAGTAGACATAAAAGAGAGATTGCGAACGTTGCAAAATGATCGGTTTCAAGCGGTAAGGGTGCAAGCAGGTCTAGAAGAAGTTTTGTGGGGGACAAACAGTCAGCGTGTGTGTTGCGACATCAAAAGCACAGGCAGGTGCTGACGGCTATCCCGAGATTAGAGGTAAATGAGGCGATGGGGATCTATAGAGCAGGGCAGGAGATAAGAAATACAAAGGGTATGAGTGCATATGCGGATATGTGGTATGAAAAGTGCTGGACAAGTGTGGGTGTGGATGATGTGGAGTTAGACAGGGTGTGTACATTTTGCAGGGGTGCAATTTAGGTAATAGCGATAGGACGGCTTTGGGTGGGGTTATTACTGCAGAGGAAATAGAGATTGCTTTACAGGGCATGAAGAAGGGAAAAGCTCCGGGTATTGATGGTCTACCGGTGGAATTTTATTTACAGCATTGGGCGTTGATAGGAAATTTCATGGTTAGGTTATTTAATTGTATGAAGGAGAAGGGGGAAATTAGGAGATAAGCACACTACAGCAGTTGTGGTACTGGTCCCGAAAGGTAAGGGGTAGCCCACCCTTCGGGAGTTTCGGGCAATATCGTTGTTATGTGCGGACTATAAGGTTTTTGCAAAAATTTTAGGTAGTAGGGTTAAATGTGTAGTGGGGAGGGTCGTATTGAAATCGCAATTTGGGCTGCCCGGAAGGTCGATGATTGAAGGACACGGGATTCTGAGAAGTTTTGTGGAGTCCAAAGAGGGGGGGGGGGAGGGAGCGGCTTTACTGGTTTTAGCCTGGCAGGCAGCCTATGATAGAGTGGAAAGGCGTGCACTGCTAGGTATACTTAGGAGACAAGGTTATGGGGAAGAAATAGTTGATTGGGTAAATACGCTGTATAGGGGAGCACAAATGAGGGTACAAATAAATGGGTGTATGGGGAGGGGATTTGCGATGGGTAGAGGTCTCAGTCAGGGGTGTCCCATGTCACAGATCTTATTTGGGTGTTTTCAGGACCCCTTTTATAGAATGGTTGAACGTACCGTCAGTACCCGGGGTAAGGGTGGGGTTGAGGGAGGGACGCTTTGGCCAGGATTAATAGGTTACGTAGATGATACGACTGTTCTGGTATTGGACGATGTTGTGCAAGTGTTTGAACGTGCCACGGGTATGAAGGTAAACAGTGAGAAGTCAATGCTCATGGGGTTGGGCACTTGGAAAGGGGAGGGGAAGGTGAGTTGTACTGTTGTTAAAAAGTGTGCGGTGCACTAAAGATTTGTGATATTATATACAAGGATGACATGGATGTGGCACGTGAGGAAAACTCGGATAGGTTGTTAGAAAGCATCGTGGAACGTCTGGGTGTTTTGAGGCCCCAGCATCTCACTTTGGCCCAACGTGTGATTGTCGTAAATGTTTTATTGTATATTAAGGTTTGGCATGTTGCGGCTGTGTTCCCGATTACAGGGACGGCGATTGCGGGAATTTTGAGAAGAGTGTTTAAATTTTTGCGGGGATCAAGTTGTGATTGGTTAAGAAGAGCGGTTATGTTACCGGTGTGTCAAGGTGGGTTGGGATTGACGAATCTAAGACGGAGGGCTAAATGTGTGTTTCTTAAATGGGAGGTATTGCGTGTGGGCGTGATGGCGGGAAATATAGAACAGGTATATATGAGGTTGAAGAAGTGGTACGGAAGCGTTGAATTGAGGGAATGTGAAATTGTTCTACGGGCCTTGTTGTTGGTTAGGGAACGGAGAGACATTCGAATACGGGTTTTGTGTAGGTTACTGGTGGGTAAGTGTGTTGCCCCTGTTGAGGGTTTGTTCCCCATGTACTCGTGGAGAAAAATTTGGTATAGATTTAGCAAGCTGAAATTATTGCCTAGGGTGCGTGACGTTATGTTTCGTTTTTTTGCACGGTATCTTGCCGTCAGGGGTCATACTAAGAACCAGGAGAGTAGTAGAGGGAGGGGGGTGTGGTTTTTGTGGAGGGGACGACACGGCGTTCCATGTAGTTTGTTTTTGTGAAGGGTTAGAAGATGTCAGGAGTTGGTTAGGTAGGTTGGTACAGAAGGTGGGAGGGAGGGGGGTGGCGGTTCTGCATGCTTTAAGTCTTGACATTGGTGGTTTAGAAGAGGAAGTCATAAGAGCTTTAGATTACATCATATCGTGGGTGATGAGGGGGAAAGGGGTTAGTGAGGTGCAAAGGCGCGTTCTTGCGATAACGTTTTATCGTACGATGTGTCGTAACCGGGAGTGTACGAGTAGAGGTGGGATCAGGTATTTTCGGAAGGATATAGGAGGCTAACGTTAGAAATCCTCGTGAATCTGTGAATGAATATGAATGTACGAAGGGTAAGGTTCCTTTTATTTACGGGATTTAAATTGGCTGAGTGTAAGTCAGTGGGTAATAGCAGGCTCGTCTCCTCGGGGGGGATGGGGGGGGGGGATGACAGTGTGGTGAATGTTGGTATGGATTGTGTTTCCTGGTTGTCATGGATGTGTGGTTGTGGAGTTTTGAGAGCTCGTTGATACTTATTGTTACTTTTGTGTAATGAATGAAAGTGCAACCCCGAAGGTTTTGTCATGTATTTGGAGGTGTTCCTGTCTTGTAATGACCCGATTCTTGAGTCATATGCTCTTAATGGTATATGTAATTGGTTATGTTTATTATCGGTTATGGGGTCATAATATGTGTTTGATTTTTGTAGATCAACATATTTTTCTATACTGTTTTGTTTGTGTACATGTATGCATATGCATGGGTTTTCCTTTTTTTGTGAAATCAGTTTTCTCTTTTGTGTTACTCTTTATATATCGTTTTAAGCCTTTGTTAAATGTTAGGCTCTAGTACATTCCTAATATGGGTATGTTAATGTTGATTTAAAGTTATGATAGGTTAGTACTCTGTTACTGGTAGTTGTTTTGAGACGTTTTGTTGTAAGCTTTTGCTTTATGTATTGCTATTTTTCCAGAGATGTTATAGAGCCATTGGTTCTAAGAATGTTATGTTGTTATCGTTTTATGTCTATTTATATTCTGGCATTATGTACTGCTGTACTGCTCTTTAAATAAAATATACAAAAAAAAAAAAAATACAGAACTAAGGATGGGATTAATGGATACAATTTCTTGCATATATTCTTTTTATTGTATTGAACCTTGGTCATATGTCATGTTATATGTAAATTTTATATATATGTAAGGTTATGAATCATGAATGTGTATATATTTCAGTTCACGACCCTGTTACTGTGTTTACTTGTAGCTATTTTCTTGCCGTAAGTTATTGTTTTATGCTAGTATATAGGTGTAATCCTTTTTGTGTCAGGTATTTTGTGTCAGGTCTATTTTATCAGTGTACGAACCTTTTGGATTGAGATCCATACTGTTTCCTGTTTATTTTTATTTTTATGTTACGCTGTATTGGTTTTAAATAAAATATAAAAAAAAATTACAAATACCAAATTTTAGACATTAACTTTTCACAATTATTGTTGATAGATCACATCCTAATGCTTCCTTATCAGATATATGCATTGGCCAAGGCAATATGCACTACTAATTAAGAGTAAGCATGCATTATATATGGTGGGCTGCACAGAAGAATTGGCGTCCTCTTATTTTTCATCCGTACAACCATATTATACTTGTTTCCCACGGAATTGGTACATTTACCGCAACGGAGGACACTAAAGAAATTTCTGTTACTTGATTACAGCCGATACCATCATTGTTGGCTTCGATGACGCCCGATTATTCACAGAACTATCATATTGCCAGCGTCTCATTCCCCGTGTGTTCCTCGCGACGCTGCTTCCCACGTCCTCGAAATTCCTCGAAGAAATATCAGCATCACAATTTTACACACATTACATTATCTATTTACATTTATATATCTACATTTAGACAGACAGATACGACACAGATTGACTAGCACGATGAGCTACGCAAATCGTGTAAAGATCAAGCCAAAAAGTGGTACCGTTGATGATTCAACGAAGTTTGCTCTTGCCACTGTTGTGCAGGGAGCATTGCATGTGAAATTCAATGCTATTTTGTCACTGAAAGAAGCATTCATTGTTGTATGTCACGATGATGCTGAAGCAGAGAAGTTACTCACCACAGAAGCCACCACTACTCTTACTGCTCAAGAATTTACTGTTACATCTCTCCTGCCCCCAGGGCAAGAAAATCAGTATTCCTAAAAAACTGGACAAGATTCTGACTTCTCAATCAATTGCTGAACTCAAGTCATCCATTGAAACACAAAATGGGCTACTGTTGATAGCATTACCAAAATCCCGAATGCATCGTCTATGCTCAAGGTCACCTTTACCGACGTGAACATGGCTGCCACTGCTCTGAACGAAGGTCTTGCTGTTTACTACTACTACATCAGTCCCACCTATATAGAAGCAGAGAGATACCACTACATCCAACATTGCTGGAACTGCTATTCTTATCTTCACACCACCAAGACATGTCCAGTAAAAGACAAGAAGTTCTGCACTACATGTGGTAATGAGGGACACACCTTCAGTTCCTGTACCGCTGCTGCTCCAACACAACCAGTGTGTTTAAACTGCAAAAGTAATGATCACCATACATTGGCAGCAAAATGTCCTACAAGAAAAGATATTATGAAGAAACAACAAGATGCAACAAAGAAAAAATCTACCAACAACACACCAACGTATGCCGCAATTGCAAAGTTGCAAGCAGACACAAAAAAATTACTTCAAGCATCTACTCAACCCGCCTCCACCACCACCACCACCATCACTCCTCCAGCATGTGACGTAACGAAGATCCACTATTGTCTACTATACGCTCACATGCAGAACATGGCTGTACCTGGATCTTTTAACTCTACTATCAACGAGTTATTTGCATTAAATAACATGCCATCATTCACATTTCCAGCATCGCCACCTTCTGAAGAAATTCTCAAATTCACCAAAGACTCAGTCACAACCTCGGATGTAGCAGATCCAACACCACCATCAACTAGTGACGTCACTCCAACAACGTCCAATGAGAAGCCTTCACCGCCACCACTCCTCACTGAAACCGACCAATCAGAAGCCTTGTCACCAGAAACATCTTCCTATTCGTCTACTGAAGATGACAACGAATATTCACTTCCACATTCAACACCACCTAACAAGAAAGAAAAAACAGCAAAAAAATCATCATCTCACAACTCTCGACATGATAAAGATGAAGATATTAAAAAATATACTTCATGGACTGGAATCAACTTCTACACTACAGAAAAATATCATCAAGACATGCCGCTTCATGAGCTTTATTCTCCTCATCGAAAAGAAAGTCAAGTTTACCATCGATTCTTCCTGCTCAGCTGGAACTCTTCGTCGTACAATTGAACTTTCTACTATTCTAAAGGCCATTGTAGACCA